TTGGATTGCTATGGAGAGGCTGAGGGTAGAAATATGGACAACAAAAGCGACTGACCAGAAACACGGTTTGAATTTAAGGGAGTAGAGACGAAAGAAAAGGCAGGTAAATTTATCAAGTTTCTTGGCTCCTACAGAACAAGATCAAAGAGCTTATCCGCTACAGATAAGTGTTACACAAGGACCAATTTGAAGGTCAACAGGGCTGTCTCCTTGGTTTGAAAGGTTGGGAACCTTGTTCAGTGTACATAAATCAGAAAACCTCTGTTCACCTGACAGGCTGGGTGACAAGACAGCCACTCGACTCCAACAGGTCCACACGTTGGAGTGATGAGCTGAAGATCATTCTCAGCTATTGATGACTCTAACGGAATTTGGTTTAAGTTTGTTTGCAAGCAGTCACTCCTTCCTTAGTTCTGATTTTTCTTCCTTTGGAATGGGAATGTTCTTCCTACTCCTAGCCTCCATTGTGTACATCCAGAAATGTATAGCTAGTCTTATTTCACAGGAGCACAGCTAAAAAGGAATTTGGCTGAGGGTGAATCTTGCCTTTATTCCCACTCACGTATGATTTAGACAACTTTTATGCTACCAGAAAAGTTCAGCGGGTTCTTTCCTCAGCTTAGTACAGAAACAAAAATCTGGGAAGTGATTGCAGAGAAGTTTTATTTGCTAAGTGAACAGGTGAACATAGAAAGAAGAGGAAAGGGGAAAGCCACTCCCAGGAGAGATCTGGGAGGTGCAGGGAAGGAAAAGAGGAGGAGTCACCAAAGGTTTGAGGAAGGGTCTTGGGGTTTCAAGCATCCCCTGACCCCTCCTTGTTGGGCAAGAACTTGCAGATAAAATGTTCCCCTTTGATGGTCTCTTAACCAGTTAGGGAATGGCTGAGCACTTCTTGTGCCACCCACTGGAAGGTGTGGCCAACTTTTAGCCAGCTTGGACAGTCTCACTTAAATGAAAGACTTAAGAATTGATGCAAACATAAATAAAGACCTTTGGGAACTGGCAGGTAATGAATGTGTTTTGCACATGTTAAGAGCATAAGTCGGGGAAGGGTAGATGAGACAGGCTGCAGAACAAATTGCATCCTCCCCAAATCCATGCTTTAGCCAAAACCACTAATGTGCCAGTATTTGAACATAGAGCCATTGAGAGAGTAAATTAAGGTGAAATGAGGACATAAAGATACGGCCTAAGCAAATTAAGATTGACCTTATAAAAAAAGTGTTAGAACTCTCTCTTCCCCTGACCCACCCTGTCACCAGTATGATACGACCATATATTAAGAAGGCAGCCAACTGAAAGCCGAGAAGATAACTTTTACCAGAGACCAAATAAACCAGAAGCTTGATTTTGGATTTCTCAGTGTCGAGATCTGTGAGAAATGGATTTGTGTTGCTCATATCACTCAGACTCTGGCCTTCTGTGTGATCTGCATGAGCTGACTGTGACACTTCCGTTAGTCACATTAATGCCACCCTATTCGGGATGCAAGTCACCCTTCGCCATCCTCCCTGCCTTCTTAATGCTTTTTTTTTTGTCTTCTTGGCACATATCATTACTTAGTTTACAATGAATATATAGTAGGTTGATCTTGCTTATTTTCTCTCTTCCCTTTGTAGAATAGGGGTTTTGTTTGGTTTTATTTACTGGTATATTTTCAACCTCCAGATGAACACTTTATCTTTTTTGCTCTGGGAACTGTAACTTTTAAAATACTGAAAAGCATGGAACCCAATGCAGAAATACAGAAAGTACATATAAACACCATATAATGAAGAACTGAACCATACAGAAAATAAAAGTGCATACATTAATTAGAATTGTCACAGAAAGGTTGTGAGCCTGATGAAAAAGCATTGTGTACTTTTTGAAGCAAAAAAGTCCCCTTATCAGCCATCCCTAACTTAAGATACAGTACTTCACAGTGCTGGGATGAAATTATCTAAACACAAATTACTAAGCATAATATGCACTTCCAGGAGTTCTCAACATACAATACTCTAAGGTCAGTCCAGAAAATAATATATATTATTTGCTTTGTAGGAGAGTAAATAGTTTCAAAATAATAGACAGGTGTAATACTTATCATATTTCAATTTATTTCCACATAAATTGGTTGTTACATGCTGTTAGTAAAAAGAATCATAGAAAAGATAATTAGATGCGTTGAAAAGTATAAAAAAACAAATACAGCGTATTAGACTACATGAGTTCTTGACTAAAAATCTTTGGACTGTGAAAACACCATTTAACTTCCTACTTGAAATCTGGCAACAAACTCTTTGCCAAAAAAGCATATCCTACACAAAATTAGAACATCATTCCGCACAAGAGAGAATGCACGATTCTAAGGCATGTGTATGTTCAACAACATGCTAATGTGTTTTGGTAACCACTAAATGTCAAACAGGGCATTAACACATTAATGTTTTCATTAAAAAAGAAGGATCTCTCTTCTCATTACATTACACATTTACAGAATAGAAAACTGTCAAATAAATTCTTGCAAAGTAGTTTCTGCTAAACCTTCCAACACTTGCATTTTATAATCGGGGGCAAATAACCTTTAAAATGAAAGACAAATGGTGAAATGTAAGGGAATTTTAATTTGCATAAATGTAATGTTAACAGTCTTTTCCTGGGTTATATATTTTACGCTTAATTTACTTATGCCACTCTACCAGGTCTTTAGCACTCTTATAAGCCAGTTTTAAACTTTTCCAATTTAATTTTACCATAGTAAATAATATGGACATAGTTTATCATATGTTAAAATAAGAGGGTTTCAAAAATAACTTAATGTGTCTTTAGAAACACTTCAGCTATAACAACACATAGAATCTTTGTGTTGTCAGCTCACATTTAAAAAAATTGCATCTTCATGTTTAGCTTGTGAACTCTCAGAAGTCAATTCTAGGGACTTTGCTTTGGCTGTGCAAAAGAAGTCTTAGCACAAAGGATCGTATACCTACAACCTACAGCTTGGTCTTCCTCTGAATACAGCATAAACAGTTGACACTCTAATTACTGGCTTGAAAATTTTAACCATTACATTTCTACTATGAGCACTAAAATTAATTCAGATACAACTACTTAGAAAAACTCTGTTAGCTCTGACACAAAACTAGAATAACCACAATGATTTTAATGTCATCCATGGTCCATAATCTCCAACAAATTAGAAAATGCCTGCAGTGCATCCATTCAATTATAAGCCAAAATGCATATCAAAATATCAATTTATATTTGGCACAAGATATTTTCTTTTCTTGACTCCCTTTGATTCATGTTTGTCTGCCAGTGACCAATGGATTAGGGATGGTGAATATTATCACATCTTCCAATTGAGTAATTTAATTGGACAAAGCCTAGCAACATTTCTTTCTCTAAGAAAATTTTGCCTCCAATTATTTTGTACACCTTTCCCTGGAACAGTGACTTACAGAAAGGGATTTGTCCTCGTTTGTTTCAATCCAAATTAGTAACGAAGGTGTTGAAAATATGTTTGTAATAGAGTATTCTAAATGGCTGAACAAGTTACAGGAAATGTTTCCCCTTCCATTTTACTGTATTTTTCCATGTAGGAATTAAAGTTAAAATTAACAGCCGGATGAATGTTTACCACCCCTTTGCTAGGGATCAGTATAGTCTGTCAGCGGGCAGGCACTAGAATTTATTGTTATAGATGTCTTCAAATCACCTAAATGAACAATCTTTAATTTATTGTCAGTGCTTGCATCAAACTCACTTTAAAGTACCTTGCTTTCTCTTACTCTGGCAATTTGCACAACAGTGAAATATAATTAAGACTGAAAAATAATTGTTGATGTGAGAATAATTACTTGTGCATGTGCATTTTTGAAAGGAAGATTTCCTCCTAGGTAAATCAACTTGTTAAAGTATAAAACTTTATGTACTTGTGTATGACTGAAAATATATACAAGCATGAAAACCATACCTTGTAGAACCCTTTCTGATTTAGGTACCTCTTGGTTAATTATCCTGTCATATGCACGAGCTTACACATAATCATATCAAGCTCTCCTTTACTAAAAACCCACAGAGCCCTGCTACAGAGCAATACGGAGAGGTAAGTATACTGCATTTTATTGATGTCTCTCTGAAATCAGAAAGTTCAAAATTACTACAGTTAATCTTACGTCAGAATAGCGTAAGGCTATCCTACTGGTATTTCCTAATCTAAAAAGATGCATGTAAAAAAATACAAAACAGGCAATTTTCATATTTCTGGCTCCGAAAAAACTCAAGCAGAAAATAAAGACACTTATGTTGGGGAGATGTGTGTGGGGGATGTGGAGATGAGAGTTTAGATTTATCTGGAATGAATATCCCAAGCATTTTCATTGTTCATAACAAAATTTACTTAGATCAATATTTTTTTTTATCACTACAACACTTTCCACCTGAATACCTCAAAAATGGACTTATTTCAATAAAAATACATAATGTCTAGTGTGTCATTTGTTTGTTTTCCTGGTAATTTTATTTTCCTGTTATATAAAACACTACTTAGCCTGACTGATATTTCAATGTTTTTGGGGGGTGAGGGAATAGAAAATTTTACATTTGGCAAGTTGTTTTATGTTACAGGTGATCCTCAGTTTTTACAAATGGCTTATAAATGTTTCGAGTCTCATGACTAAAGTGTGTATCATTTTTACAGTTAACCTATAGCAAAACAGACACAAAACTACACAGCATATTGCAGCCATAGGAAATAAAATCACGTTTACTCATAAGTATATGAAAATTACATGCATGCTGATTTTACATAAACAGTGAACCTGCTTACTCATAAAGGCTATGGAAATCTATTGGCATATCTCAGTCGGTGGATGTTCAGGTACTAATGCTAAGTCACATCCTGCTTCATATTACAGGTTATCGGTAGGATATAAACCAAAGAATGTGCAAGATGCCAGTATTTGGCCTCCTCAGGCACCTGCAGAAGATAACAGATGTGCTGCAACAAAATGGTCTCACACTTCGCTGTGGTCACTGACCTTGTTCAAATTCTGAAATGGAAGAGAAAGAAATAAGCATATGCTACTCACTCCACTCCTGAATCAGTACCACAGTGAAATCAGTCAGTGAAAGCAAGCTGCCCAGTCATGCTGAGAAGAAAGGTATTCTGTGAGGTCACAAAAATGAGCAATTTAACACTACACGTCCAAGGCCAGCATGTTAACTTGGAGACTCATTGCATCACTTTGAAATGATGTGACTTCATTTATTTTCCCGTTTCTAAAAATGGGTTCAATAATATTATCTGCGATATAAAACTGTGGCCCAATTTAGCTAATTAATTTGAGAAAAATCCTTTAACATAGTGAGCACTCAGTTCATGCTACTTATATCATCATCATCATCATGATTATCTTCATAACCATACTGTTATTAGTTCATAAATACATGCGGTTCTCATGGAATGTAATAATGCTAACCTTACCGACACCAAATGTTCCTCCAGAGATGAGGAAAGGACAAGAACGTAAAAGTCAAACCAAACATTATAGGAAATCAGAGTTCTAGGAACAGTCATAAAACCAAACCTTAAATCCAAGCATTTGGGGGATAAGTTTAACATTTCTGATCATATGAGCAGTAGACTCCACAAATAATGCTTCTAATGAAGGGAATCAAACTAAACTTAGAGACAATGGCATCAAATGAGGAGTGAAATCTGCGCATTGGATTCAAATTTGTAAGGCAGCAAATCCTGCACGAAGTATGAGGGCAAACGGTTCACTCTAGATAGACGATCACCAAATTCTCCAGACAGAGAATCACTCATCTGCCAAGAGTCATTTGTAGGGCATTCGAAGCTATAAACTTAAGGGGCTAACATTGTGGTGCTGTGGGTTACACGTCCATCTGTTGCGCGACCTGAGTGTAGTTTTACCAGTGCTACTGCTGCAGGGGTGAAGAACGTCTGGTTACAGGCATTTTAAGTCCCAGCTGCTTCATTATGATACAGCTAATGCACCCAGGAGAGCAGCAGAAAATGGGACTCGGCGCCTTCATTCATGTGGGAGACGTGGATGGAGTTCCGTGCTAATGATTTCATCCTGGACCAACTCTGGCTACTGAAGCCATTTAGGTAGTGAATAAAAGATATCTCCTTGTTCCTCTCCATCTCCCTAAGTCAGTGTCCAACCCTGCTTTTAAAATACATAATAAATTTGTATTTTTAACTTAATTTAAAATTGGCCTGCAATACATTATTTACATTAAATTTGGAGTCCCACCTAAGGCTGCCTTGGCAGGGACAGGCCAAACCATTTTATGGGCCTTATATAGCCTACAGGCCAGATGCCCCCCTACCACACACACACACACCTTGGAACATTGTTAAAGAATCCAAATTATCTTTAAAAGTTCATAACCAGTCCAAGAAAGGAAGAAACAGAATTCTTCTCTTACAGCAGGTGAATCTGTGGTAAAAACTGACTTTGACAGATTTTTAGATGGCAGAAGGATAGAATCTTACTTTAAAACGGCCTGCAAAACCCATGGTTCTGTATTCTTATGTCTCTTATCATTCCTAAAAGTCAATTTTATCCACTCACCTTATTTGAATAGCTGTTTCTTATTGCAGCAGACACTGATTCAAAGAAAATTGGTTTCTCCAAGTCTAGGTTTCCATAGTACTCCATTGCTTTTGTCAAGGAAGCTACAAGAAAGGACATGTTGTTTATAAAAACAGAGTGGCAGAATTGTGTTGAAAGATAGCCAAGGACTCTGCATTACCTGTGCAATTGGCTAACGATATATCCACATTCCTGGTCTGACAGTCCATGTAGACCTGCAAGGATATTTTGAGTTGGTTATCCTGTGTTAAGTATAGCAACAACTAATGTAAGATAACTGGCAGCAAGGGGTAATAAGAACAGCAGAAAAGATGTTTTTAGTTAAGAGACCATGCTTCCGAAGTCAAACCACCAGAGGGAGGCATTGTTACACTGTTGGGCAGACCTTGGCCAGTACTGAGAAGGCCAAGATCAACACAGCAGAGAACACACAGAATCTGAATTTGGCTGCTTGCATTTTCCACTTTATCTTGCAAGGTAAAAGCACTCGCTCCCCCACCCTGTTAGAATGAGATAAGACGGCCTTTTCTATGAGAAGTTGAAGATCATTTGTGAAAAGTAATGACCCTTGCCATCTTATTTCGGTATTTAATAATGATTTCAGCTTATTCCAGGGCTCCGTAGGATAGCATCTATGAGTGGTCAGCTGAGAACTTCACTAGTTCTCAAACCAAGTTTGGTCACCCCACTTCCTTGGCTAAAGATCCATCAAAATGAAATATCCTCACTAATTAGCTTGGCATAGTTGAGAATCCTGCCTCCTTAAAGGTCCAGAAAATCTTCAGTAGAAACCACATATGGAAGGCTCTGATCTTAAATTCACCAAAAGTCAATACGTGAAATTCAATGAAAGTAAATCTAGAAATATTAGTTACGGTAGGGTGGACTTGGTTACTCAGAAGTGGTACATCTTACACACAAAGTATTAAAAGCTGTATATAATGCAGTGTAACAGAATGCATGATCCATCCAACATTTCTCTCCTATCCCTCTAGCAGTGAGCAATTCTTTCTCTGTGACAACTGTGAAGAACTGTGTATTACTTTGGGCATAAATGAACAAGCAAACAATGAATTAAAAAATGCATGGACTGGGAATCGGGCCTTGAATAAATGGTTCCTGGCTCTGTAGAATAAAACAGCCAACTCAAGGTGACCTCTCAGTGTTTGACTTTTCCTTAAGCTCAATGAAGTACAAACACATTGCTGTGCATGGCTTGTGGACGCTGATAAGCATAATCTCCAGTTCACTGACCTCTCCAGTGTCCCACGTCAAAAAATAAGTGGAAGTCACTGCCCCTTCTTCAACTTGTGTCTCCAAGAAGAAATGTTTCCTGTGCTATAACAACTAATACAGCAGCACAGGAGGTATGGTGAGGAGGTAGGGAGCCGTGTACAGCTGAGAAGTCCTGGGACTGTTGTCACAGTGGTCAAGCCTAAAAATAAACTGCTATGGCATTATGTGCACATTAAGACATGGACAGCTAATATGTGGATCCAGGGTGAATCTCTCTTTAAATTCTGTACACTTAGTACGTGTCATCATGTTATTATAACAAATATGAAGCAAAGTGAATTAAGGACATTAAAGGGAACATTGGGCCAGGCACGGTAGCCTAGTGGCTAAAGCCCTCACCTTGCATGCATCAGGATCCCTTATGGCTGTCAATTCATTTCTAGCTGCTACACTTCCCAGGAAGCTCCCTGCTATAGCCTGGGAAAGCAGTGGAAGACTGCCCAAAGCCTTGAGACCCTGCACCCACATGAAAGACCCAGAAGAGGCTCCTGGACCCTGCCTTTGGAACAGTTCACTTCCGGCCATTGCGACCATTTGGGGAGTGAATCAGCAGATGGAAGATCTTCTTCTCTGTCTCTCCTTTTCTCTGTATATCTGACTTCCCAATAAAAATAATTAAGTCTTTAAAGATATCAAAAATTCATATGTAAGAAAATTAATTCAAAAGTCCTTGTTTTGTAGGCACAAATTTGGAAAATGGTCACAAAGGTCATTTTTTAAATTAAAAATAAATGGAAACATTTTACCTTCTCTGTTTATTTCATTGTTTTCAATTTTATCATCACTAGAATGAGAGCTTAAAAACAACACAGTCTTTCCCAACAAGTCTAGGCTCATAAACTGGCCATCAATCCTAAACTCATCGGCAATAGGAAATCATTTTCTTCTCTTTCATAACTTAGAGTCCTATTTTTCACTGCCCCAGAGAGGGCAGATAATAACTTCAGACAAAAAAAAATTAATGAAATTGACTTAAAAAAATGCCCTAGCAGGAAATCCTAGTTTAACCTTCCTCAAAACATGAGCTTTAGACTATCTGCAACGAATTTACCTGAAATGGTTTAAAATGATGATCCTGAAAGAGACTTGAGACAGTGAGGGCTAATTTAAATACACAGCTCCAAGAGGCACTCAGGTTCTACATGTTTGTGGCACAGAGTAAAACTTGAATGCCCAATCAAGCAGCGTGAGCGCCAAGGGCCTATGTATATACAATCCGTGTTTAGTGGTAAGAAAATAAGAATTGGAATGGAATCATATGCTCACTTTTGGAAAGATTTTGAAGTAACCCAAAAGAAAATAAGAGTATAGTATAGGGGGGAAATGTTAACTCATTAAAAATAGTCACTGGATACAAGATCTAAGATATTTTAACATCAATTGTTTCACTTAGTTGTTTGCTTTCCAAATACCTGATAATCCTGAAACAAATCAGCCCCTCATTTTCACAAATGAATAAACCAAAATCCATACATGTGAGATGATTTCTCCAGCCCCCTAGACTGAGACTTCTTCACCATTGGACTTACGTATACCAGCTGTCATAATTGCCCAGCGTTGACCTATGCATTGCGTTGGATTTGAAAGGCAGAAATTTCTACAACTAAACCAAGAATGAATAGAGATAGAAGGCGTGCAACGCTGCAAGAAAATACCAAATTCCACTCTGTGAAGGTACCATTCTAGGACTTCTGATCTCAACTCCTAAAAGGGTGGTGTTGGATTTTTATTTCTATCAATGAAGAGCTGCTAATAAAAGGCAACTCCATCTATTACAAGTAAACTGGGCAAGAATATGAGAGTGACTAAGTTCACACAGCCCACAATTGAAATCTCTGGGAGAAGCAGAACAAATGAGGGTGGCCCTCCGACCTGCCACAAAGCCTTCTAGGGTCACAATGTGATGGGACCCAGACAAAACACAGCAGCTTCACTGAGCTGCGAGTAAGCTGGCATTTGGGGACTCTGCTAAAAGGAACATTTGTAGAGGACAGTAAAAGAGATGGGCCTTGAAAGAGCTCCAGTTTCATAGTTTCAACAGAGGTTTCAGTTGCGGGTGGGTGCTGTAGGAGGCCAGGCAGGGTAAGAAAGCTTTGGTATCAAGCACCTGAACACAGGCAGCCGAGTGGCATGCTCATAAGTGTGCAGAGGACCTAGGACACCAGGGCTGGAAGATGCCTAGAACACCATCCTCCTCCCCAGCCAATGGGGGCATTAGGAAAAGGGCAGAAGGAAAGAAGAGAGTCCATTTCTTCCTGACATAGTGTAAAACCCAAGGGCAGAGCAGCTCTCGTAAATATATCTGCTTTCTCTGAATTGGCAGCATGAAGTAGTTTTCTAATCTGTGGGAAACAGGTGTTTGTGAGCTACATTCATTTTAAAGAAGCAATCCAATGAAGTTGTTTGTTTTGCACACATAAATCATGGAGACCATAGAAGGTGGCAATGTCACCCAAGGGGACAGAGACAAGTCCTTGCGTTGGGCCCTGCAGAGAGTGGAAATGACACCGGGCTCAGTGATATGTCAAGCCCATGGATTGTGAATAAATACCTTCACTTCTGACACCCGCATGTGTGTAAAACTGGAAACTTAGTCTGAAAACGAGCCTACACAGAAGGAAGCATAAAACCTATGCCCTAGGTGGGGAAGTGGGGAGGGGCGGGGAGACATGGCGTGATGGCTCAATTGCCTGGTCCTCTCCCTGCAAGCACCAGGATTGCCTTGGATGCCAGTTCCTGTCCACGCTGCTCCACTTCCCATCTAACGCCCTGCTTGTAGCCTGGGAAAGCAGTCAAGGATGGCTTAAAGTCCTGGGAACCTGCACCTGCATGAGAAACCTGGAGGAAGCATCTGGCCCCGGCCTTGGATCAGCACAATTCTGGCCATTGTGGCCACTTGAGGAATAAACCAGCCAATGGAAAGTTATTTCTCTCTGGCTTTCGTTCACTCTGTAAATCTGCCTTTCCAATTAAAATAAATGTCTTAGAAAAGAAAAAAGTCCACGTCCTTGGCTAAGAAGAGGGAAACATGAGTGTGGAAATAAGCAGGCTCAAGATGCTGAGCTGAGAGGGACAGGTGAAATCCTGGTTACTGAAGGGACCCCAAGGTCTCAGTCCAAACCCAGGCTGTAAAAATACCTCAACCAGCACAGAGACTGCAGAAGAGTCAAAGAAGGCCAATCCGCTGCAGTCCAGGATCAGTGAACACTTCTCAGGAGGGAAGGGCTGCAAAGTTTCTTCTGTAGGAAGAACAGAGACCACTGTTAGAGAGAACTCCTGGCCTTTATCGCTGCTGAATTTGCTGATTGGCGGGAAGACGACACTGCCTAATGCATATCGCCACTAAATTTGAACACTTTGGGGCTGGCCTTGTGGTGTAGCATGAGAATGACATATAGGTGCTCGTTAAAGTTCTGGCTTCTCTGCATAAAATTTAACTCGATGCTGTTGAACCTGAGAAAGTAACAGAGGATAGCCCAAGTGTTTGGACCTCTGCCATGCGTGTACAAAACCTGGATGAAGCTCCTGCCTCCTGCCTTGCACCCTGCCCTGCTCATTGCATCCATTTGAGGAATGAACCACCAGATGGAATTTCTTTCTCTCTCTCTCTCTTCCCTCTCTCTCAACTCTAATTTCAAACTCAATTCTAACATTCAAAGAAATAAATCTGAATATTTCTTATTTCTTACACTTTTGGGTTAACTACTAATTGTTCCTGAACCTTGCGTTTTGATGACTAGAGTTTTATTTCAGGGTGTTACCGTAAATCAGAGACAAAAACAGGACAGGCTAGTTGCCAGACAAGCAAACCTGACACTTAGTAAGATCACATGCTTTGAAAAGGACATCTTGCAAGTTAGCACTCATTACCAACAAAAACTTAGGCCTTGAGACATTCTCAATATTGTGCTTTTCAGGCCCAGTGTGGCATCCTAGTGGCTAAAGGCATCACCTTGAACATGCCAGCATACCACATGGGCCGCGGTTCTAGTCCCAGTAGCCCTGCTTCTCATCCTGCTCCCAGCTAGTGGTCCGGGAAAGCAGTGAAGGTAGTCCCAATGCCCTGGGATCTTGCATCCTCATGGGGAGAACTAGAAAAGGCTCTGTGCTCCTGGCTTTGGATCAGTGCATCCCTGACTGTTGCTGCGACTTGGGGAGTTAATCAGCAGATGGAAGACCCTTCTCGCTATATATCTGACTTTCCAATAAGAATAAAATTAATCGAAATATTTTTTAAATAATAAATAAAAAATTTACAAATAGTGTGCTTTCCACAATCATCCCCTTCTTTAAAGAGTGCTTCCAGTGACAGAGTTTTGCTTGATAATAACTGAAATTTGCACAATGGGAAGGAGCCATACTTTAGAAAAAGTTGCCTTGCTGAGGCTTGTCCTTGTAAGGTTCTGTGTAAGGGACTGGAAAATCAAGTGTCGTTTGGTTCATAGTTAAACTGCTTCTGAATTCACCAGCTATCGTAGCCTCCTTCACTTCTCCCAAACACTTTTCTTAAGAGTCCATTTTGTCAGGACCCGACGGCATGGCCTAGCGGCTAAAATCCTCGCCTGGAATACGCCAGGATCCCATATGGACGCCAGTTCTAATCCCGACAGCCCCACTTCTCATTAAGCTCTCTGCTTGTGGCCTGGGAAAGCAGTCGAGGACGGCCCAAAGCCTTGGGATCCTGCACCCGTGTGGGAGACCCAGAAGAAGTTCCTGGATCCTGGCTTCGAATCAGCACAGCACAGGCCTTTGCGCTCACTTGGGGAGTGAATCATTGGAAGGAAGATCTTTCTCTCTGTCTCTCCTCTCTGTATATCTCACTTTCCAATAAAAATAAAATAAAATCTTAAAAAAAAGAGTCCATTTTGTCATTTTGGTTTACCGTCTCTATGGTACAATGCTCAAGTGAGAGATGACAATGTTTCTCATGAGTAACAGGCCACATGGTCTCACGCCAATAGTAGAGAAATTCTACCAAACAAGTTTATTAGCTAGTAGGAAATAACTTGAAAATGTTAATGGGAATAATTTTGCCACTCAAAGTTCTCAGTCTTTTCCCTTATGTTGGCTATTAAATAGTACACCTATGGTTATTTCTCAGTATGTAAAGAAGAAGAAAATACAGCATATATATATATATATATATGCAAATGACTACTGTCTAGATATAAAACTAATCAAGTGAAAATCACAAAATTGTTCTTGATAATTTTATAAAGATGTTAACAGTAAAAACAGAAAGACTACGCATGGATTTTAAGGTCTTTGAAAAGTGATGCTGAAGTATGGAATATTCCCTGCAAGTTCAACCTTTAGGTCCAAATTAATGTCTGTTATCTGGAACAATGACTACATAGTACATACTATATCTTAGAAAAATTTTTAGATGCAGTGGATGGTAATAAATATGTGTGAGATTCTATTTCCTTTATCAAGGAGCTTATAATATTCTTGAGTGCCAAGGACAGCACTAGAGTGTAAATGACAGATTAAAAATGATAAAATGAGAAAGAGTTGGGCTATTATAAAGGAGAAGTATTATTACAGTGACCTGCAAATGTTTTATGCAAGAAAGGGTAGGTTTGAAAAAGGTGTAAGATTCTACAGGTTCCAAACAATATAGATTTATAAATATCCCAGCCATATGGACACTCCTAATTAGACACTAATGAGAGAGTAAGAACTCAAACTCCGCCTTCTCCCATTCTACCAGCAATGAATGAGGGCCAACAATGTGATGGGCACCCCAGGGGTGCCTTCTGTTTCCTCTGGGGAAGGGAAGCTAAATAATGAGTAGAGATTGAAGCTATGCTTCCATTGGCCTAAGATGGCAAATTACATCACATAAAAAAATAATGATCACAACTTACCTGGACAGGCACAGGCATTTGATTACAGTACATTTACCCAGTGAAATAAAGCAAGACCTTTGCTCAACTCAATAGTTCGGGTTATCACTGCTAGATCACCAGAAAACCTAACAGGTATTTTGAACCTAGAAATACTGCAGTGCAAAAGAATCCACATCTATGTAATCCAGAGATTTATCTCCAAATGATTGGAAAGTGGTAAATAAAAGGTATTTAAAATTCTTTCAGAAAAAACTGATTTTTCTTTTCTAGCCTGTCTTATCCATAACTTCTAAATTCTACTTGCTTTATTTTCTTATGATTCCTTAATACTTTAAGTGTTGATGGATGCTTGATTATGAAAAGCTTGGGTTTTGCTAGCGGATACAATTTCCTTGTCACAGAATGCATTCATACTGTGTCTTGCTTTGTTCTTTATGTTTTTACAACTGAGTTCCTCCTGCTATTACTTTCACCAAATATGTGTATACTTTCAGAAAAAAACTGAACAAAAGAAAATAAGGGAAAAGAGCCATGCCATTTAATGGTAAATAATAATTTAAGTCAGCTCTTTTAAGAGAAACAATTCATGATTTTCTTTTCTAAATAAAACAGACATCCTTAATGGTAAAGTTACCAATTGACTCACACAAACTTGTAAACAGAACAGACATTCCTGAAACCTTTCCTAAAAGAAGCTTTATATTACACATTATCCATTTAGTTCTGCCATTGTCCTGGTTTTATGGCTGTAACCTTGTGTTCTAAGTTTCCAAGTAAATCAAACAGTGTAATAAAAATCACATCACCCTAGAAAAGAGGAAGTGAATGCACAGCTAATGCCCTGCCTTAAGCAAAGTGAGGTAGGCTTGGAGCATGTGCAATGGAGACAACTAATCTACACCCATGTGGAATGTGGTAAATGATGAGCTTTATCTACAAAAAAACAACATTTCAGAAAGAAATTAACCATCAGGTGTGGGTTTGCAATTAACTCCAGACGGTGGAAGCCAGCTCTTTCCTGAGGAATATTCATTAACTCCTTTAATTAAAAAGTATTCATAGTTACATAATTTAGGAGAGCTTTCATATACTTCAAAACATGCCGACAGTCTGTGAGTCACTCATAATCTTTTTTAAAGAAACTATTTTCTGTTGGTATCAATTAACTGTTGAGAAGCTGATTCACATCTCTAATTTCTTAGGAAATAAGGGTGCAATAAACATTTTGGGCAAACTGTAACACTACCTTTGGAAAGCACACGAGGAATATTTCATTCCTTCATTCACACAGTATTTTAATTTATATGCATTCAGTGTCTACTTTAAGAATTACCCCGGATGCGGGGGTGGGGACTGCAGCACGGTAGCTTAGCGGGTAAAGTCCTTGCCTTGCATGCACCAAGATCCCATATGGGCACTGGTTTTAGTCCCTGCGACGCCGCTTCCTATCCAGCTCCCTGCTTGTAGCCTGGGAAAGCAGTCCAGGATGGCCCTAGGCCTCAGGACCCTGCACCCATGTGGGAGATCCACAGAAGGTTCCTGGCTGCTGGCTTCAGATCAGCACAGGTCTGGCCATTGTGGCTGCTTAGGGGAACGAATCAGTGGACAGAGGATCTTCCTCTCTGTCTTTAATTCTCATTGTGTATCTGACTTTCCAATAAAAATAAGTAAACTCTAAAAGGAGAGAGAGAGATTGATTTACCCCTGGGAATAAGTGGTGAACAAGGGAAATAATGGCATCTTTCTTGAAAATACAACCAAAGAGGGAAATACGTTAGGTAAACTAATCATTTGAAGTATTGCAAGAGTTGGAGAAGATGTGCAGACAGAGCTAAGGAGGCATGCACGACTCAGTATGATAAAATAATGACCTCCCAAAGATTTCCACATCTTAATCCCCAGAGCCCAGAAACATTTTATTTCCGCGGCAAAAGAAAGTTTTGGTTAAAATAAATATAGATAGAGAGATATAGGGTCTATGCTAGATTAATCACATGGTCTCAATGAGGCAAATAGGAAATTCAGAATCAGAAAAGAAGTGCTGTCAAAAAAAGGTATCAGAAAAAGGTAAGAAGATGTCCTACTGCTGGTTTGTACATGAGGAATGGAGCCATGAGGCAAGAAATTCAGAAGGGCCCCAGAAATTCTTCTAGATCTTTTATAATGAATATAGCCCTGCCTTCCAAAATTTTAAGTATAATGTCCATAAGATGTGTTATAGACTTTAATCACCCAAATCTATTAAATAACAAACCTGTATTTTCAACTACAGAAAACAATGGGCAATTTATACAATTAGGTTGATTTGGTGAATGGGAAGGTGATTATGCCAGTAATATGTTCAAAATGTTCTACATGAAGTTAGGAAAGATTAGAAAGGGGGTTGGCCTTGTGGCACAGCACATACAGCCTCCACCTGTGGTGTCAGCATCCTGTTTGTGTGCCAGTTCCAGTCCAGGCTCCTCCATGTCTAAGGCAGCTCCCGACTAATGCACCTAGGAAAGTAGTGCAAGATGGCCCACGTCACTGGGCCCTGCAACCAGGTGGCAGACCTGGGAGGATTCTTGCTGCTTGCTGTTGGCCTAGCCATTGCAATTATTTGTGGAGCGAGCCAGTGGACAAATCTCTCTAACTTTGACTTTCAAATAAAAAATAAATCTTTAAAAAAAGATTGACATTTGAGCTACATCCATTTATGTAGGTCAACACAGATATTAATTCCAACATTTCCAGCCAATTCTATTCTATTCTACATGTTATATTTTTATTTAGAATATATTATACACTATAATGCAATTAATGTTACTAGGTTTCTATTTCCCCTTACATAAAGATTCTACATATTATTTACCCATTGTACTATAATTTTAGATATTTCTAACTTAGGCAAGATTAAAACAAAACTCTATGAAGAATTTTGTATATATTTCCAGATACAAATACTCAGAGATTTCTTTTTATTGTCTTCAATAGTGCAGAAAAATTAGCATGTTTTAAAGTTTAAATGAGACTAGAATGTGTCCCATTGACTAGCTTCTCTTATTGACACTGTGCTTATCAGACTAATTCAATGCTCACAACTTAATATGGTGTTGTATGTATTGTAAAATCAATTGTATGAATAATAATGATTTTTCTACACTTGCTACTTAGGTTTGACATGCAATTTTTTTCCATGCTTGGTTAGTTACAACCTAGTCTCTCTCTCTCTCTCTCTCTCTCTCTCTCTCTCTCTCTCTCTCTCTCTCTTTCTCTCTCTCTTTCTGTGTGTGTGTGTGTGTTCCAGGGAGAGAGAAAGAGAGCTCTCCCAACTTCTGTTTCATTTCCCAAATGCATCCAGTGGTGGGGGTTGAATCAAGCCAGATCAGGAGCTCAGAATTCAGTTCAGCCCCGCCGCACGAGTGCCTTGTGCACTGCTACTTGGCCATCACTCAGGGGTTTCTTGAGCCTGATAATCCTGTATACGTTCCGCATCTGTTCAGTTTCTGTGTTGGTCTTTAATATTTCCCCCTTTTTACTTGTATTTGATTAATTTTTTGCATTATTTGAATTCTTATATGGATAATGAAATTACTACTTTTTGCTTTCATTCCTAATATATAGTTTCTTATGTAAAATTTTAAAAAGTACTGCTGTATTAGCATCATTCCAAGTTTTGATAAGCATCATTTTATTTAGAATTTATTTTTCCCCTTTAGGTGTCAGCTATTGATTTGATATCATTAATTTAACCATTGGGCTTTTTTTTTTTAACTGAATTATTTGAAAAAGAGAGGCAGAAGATAGAGAAGGAGAGAGAAGAGAGAGAGGAGAGAGAAAGAGAGATCACATCTACCTTGAATTCCCACAACGACCAGAACTGTGCCATACTGAAGGAGACTAGGGACTAGCAACTCCATCAGGGTCTGCCACATGGACCACAAGGACTCCCATATTTGATGCATCCTCTGTGCCTTCCAGGGCGTGCATTAGCAGGAAGCTGGAACTGGAGGAAGAGTTGGGACTTGATCCCAGCTACTTCCGAAGGCATTTTAACCTGCTCACTCACTGTCTCGCTCTTGCTTCCTTTCATCACCTTGTAATTGTCCATCTTTTTTTTTTTTTTTTTGGTCCTCATAATAAAGCCAAAAGAAAACAAATCACAAATTACGTGACATATAATGATAAAAAGTAAAGACTCAATAAAAAGCAGTAGAGTCAGGATTGAAAGGTACGATACCATCTTTTTATTATTTAGTGAGTAATGGATTTTAATTAATTTTATATTACATTTTAAAAGTCAGTATTTAAAATGGAAATACCATTTACTTTTTCTGATCATGTATACTTGTATTAATTTATCACACCATAGCTCATGAATATTTATAAAAATAGCATACTCCAAAAAGGGGGAAAAATAAAAATTTTGAAAAGTCATCCATTTTGCTCTAAATGCAACTCTAGTCATGTTTACTCACAGTTGTGACCTAATAACAGAAATATTTAATTGTAATGTTGAAATATTTAATTTGCTCTTTTATAAAGCATGTCATCTCTGTAGTTCCATGTTTTAGAAAGTAACTTTCACATTTAAAGTAACCGTAGTCATTATATTCTAATAATTTTTTATTAAAAATGGAATTTTGCTGCTGCTAACACTAAACATTATTTCAACTACATATTAAAATACAAGGACCAAAAAGAGAGAGAGAGAGAAAAATGTACACAAATATTCATGCAAATCTTGGACTTTGACTAGCAAATTTGATCCCCGTGTCCTTGTAACTCGATGCACATGTTCATTTATCTAGGCCTTTTTCTACACCTATCTGTAACTTCATGAAAACCATGAATTCTCATTGCTATTTTTAACTGTAATTCAAAAATGTAAGTTTCACTCTGTTTTTTCCTCATTTTTCTTGAATCCTTTCTCCACTCGTGAAGGCTGATACTAGTTCTTAAAAAAAAACCAATTCATTCATTCATTCGTGGAAACATGTAATATAGTTTAAAATGTGATGCTCTAACTGATACATTTTTAGGAAATAAAATGGGTTTGGGATTGCAATTGCTTTTAAAACATTCATAATGCAAACACAGCCTGTGGTGTGGCACAGCAACTTAAGCTGCGTCTTGCCACACTGGCATTATACATCCACCAATCCGAGCCCCAGATGCTCCATTTCCATCCAGTTTCCTGCTGATGCTCTGGCAAGGCACTGGCACAGAGGTCAAGGCTTGGGCCTGTGCTACTCACATGCAAGCTCTGTATAGAGTGGCTGACTCCAGGCTTCTGCCTGGAGCAACTCCAACTGCGTTGGTTTGGGGAGTGAATCAGTATCAGCAGATGGAAGATTCTCTATCTCTCTCTCTTCCTCTCTACCTTTCAAATAAGTGAATGCTATTTAATAACTTCAAAAAGCATGGTCCTCAAAGGATTCAAATAAAACAATCTTCTTCCACCCATGAAGAAATATATCGCCCAAATATATCATATAATAGAAATAAGAGAATTTTGTATAACTCTTGACATGAACAATAGCCACAATTTAACAATTGCTGTTTTAATCTTAATAAATATCAAATTAAGAGATAATAGTGAAACTTTTCAAAATACCACTCAAATTATTTTATCATTTATTTCTATATTATTCTATTGTTGGGCCCGGCGCGGTGGCGCAAGTGGTTAAGGTCCTCGCCTTGCACGGTTTTTCACTCACTTCAGAGCAGTTTAGCCTTTCTTTTTGTCCTTAAATTTTTCTATATTGAGACAATTCATGAGTTTCAACAGAAGAGTAATTAAACTTTAGAGAATAAATGTAGATCCAAATAATTCAACAGGCATCTCCATATAAAACATTTGTTGATATTACCCAAATTTGTAATTGTTTTAAATTGATTTTTTTTTGAGAGGGGGGAAAATTGCAAGTGCAAAAGATGATATTGGAGGAAAAATCGTGATCCACATTAATATTAAATACAATTGATATTAAATACAATATCAAATTTCATTCTGTGCGTGAACATTTATTTTAACGAAATATACAAATGGAAGAGGAGGGAGACAGAAGGGAAGAGTAGATGTAGGGAAAGGTAAATGAAGGAGGAAAGGAGGAGAAGGAAAAGAAAGAAAGGAGAAAAAAGAAAGGGAAGAAGATCACAAGGAAGAGAAGAAAGAGGGGAGGAGGGGAAGGAAAGAGCAGAGGAGAGAGGAGGAAGAAGTAAGAAAAATAAGGAGGAGGAGAAAAGTGTGGAAGAGCAGAAAGAGAACCGAGAAGGGACCAAGACAGAAAGATTTTACTCTCCACTCTATATTCAGTAAGCCCACTATTTATTTTTTCTTTAAATGTAACTTACCATTGCAGTTGCCATTAGATAGAGAATTGAGCAATGTATTTTGTTCACACTGAAACAAAAGCAAATGTGAAGAAAAGTAAATTTTACCAAAATTCATTTATGCTTTGAGGTACACATCCTTGTTTTCTCCATAAAAAAGCAAAATTAGTTTCAAGTAATGTTTACTGCCTTGTTTTCAGAATGATTACACAGCATTCTTTGATACAATAAGATTATTTCAAAGTATAATTGTATATTAGTAAAGTGTGTCATCAAGCCAGACTGTCTCCTTTAGAATATTTTCTGTAAAACTGTATTTGATTTGGAATAGAAATGCACACTGCGTTGTATCTTCACATCTGCATATGATGTTCTCTAGTACACAGTTACTATACATCCTCTTAAACGAAAAGCCATACAATAAAATCAATGACAGGAAATAGATAATTTACAACATCAAGTTGAAAAACGCTACTGAATGGCCAACGTATTGCTCATGAAATGAAAACAAAAATCTAAAACTTTCTTGAAGCAAAAGACGCTACTATGTGACCTATGAGTCAGTGGGCAAATTAATATGAAAAAAAAACTTATTTGAAGAAATTAAAATTAAAAAATCAAAACCCATGAGATGTAGCAAAAAGCGTATTGGAAGGGTTATTGATCTTGTATTTTACATGAAGGTTGCCTTGTATCAAAGAGAACATATGACATTTTTGCTTTTGGGATTGACTTGTTTCACTAAGCATAATGGTCTCTTCACTTTGTTGGCTGTTTTCTTTGCTGTTCAGAAGCCTCTTAGTGCCTTTTCTTTGACTTCCTGTGCTTTTGGCGACTTTTCTATCTTCCCCTATTCCTATTTCTTAGGGAATACTTCCTATGTTCTCCTCTAATAGTTTGATGGCTTCTGGGTGCAGATTTAGGTTCTTGATCATTTAAAGCTGATTTTTTGTATAAGATAACAAGTGTTGTTCTTACTTCTTACTTCTGTTGGCTGCTATAAAAATGTTCAGACCATCCGAAAAACAACTAAGTTCAGCAAAATCATGCTTCAACACTATAAACAGCTAAATACAAAAATAAAAATAGATGAGACAGCTGAATAGTAATCTATAGCCATTTTGTGGTGTATGGAATCCGGTTGAATACAAACCAAAAATTGAAATGAAGAAGTCACAGGATGTAGTTAGGAACCCGCATTTTCCTATTAACATACTGTTAATCAATACCACGTCAATTAATGCCATACTGTTGTAAATGGTTGTTGATGTTATGTCGGGGCCTTTAATTGATTGGGATGATGCTTTGCTGGCTTTACCTTCAGACCAGAGATGGTCTCACCAAGAAATCGTTGAACACACTAGGATAATAAGACACTGGACTTCATGCTTGGTAAATACTTCCATTGAAGGAACCTCAACTGAATTTGAACTGTGGTAATGCAGCAAGGTGGAGAAATCCACCATGGGGAAAAGGTTCGGGGAGGCGTAGGGGGAATCCCAGTGCCTATAACACTGTGTCACATAATGCAATGTAATTAATAATTTAAAAATATATAACAACAGCATTTGTTAAAGAGACTAGAATTTTTCCCTGGGGTATTTTCAGTTCTCCTGTCAAAGATTAGTTGGTTGCAGATATGTGGGCTCCCTTCTGGTGTATATATTCTGCTACATTGATCTCTGTTTGTGTATCAGTACCTGACTGTTTCAATGATCATTGCTCTGTAGTATGTCTTGAGGTCTGGAACTGTGAATTTTCCAACTTTTTGTTCCTTGCTCGGGATAGCTTTGGCTATCTGCGTTCTCTTGTATTTCCACATGAAGTTTTGTATCACCTTTTCTGTTTCTGAGAAGATTATTGTTAGGATTTTGATTGGGATTGCATTGAATCTATATATTACTTTTGGTAATACGGAGATTTTGATAGTGTTGATCCTGCTGATCCAGGAACATGGCAAGTTTCTCCATCTTTTAGTATCTTAATTTTCTTTTTTAATGTTTTGTAATTTTTATTATAGATGTCTTTCACATCTTTGATTAGGCTAATTCCAAGGTATTTAAGATTCCTCTCTGCTATTTTTAAGGGAACTGTACTTAAAATCTCTTTCTCAGCCATGCGGTTATTTGTGTATACTAGTGCCATCAAGTTATATTCATTAATTTCATATCCTGCTACAAAATAAATTCTCTTATGAGTTCCAAAAGTCTCTCTACTTCCAAATCAGAGATGGACTCCCAATGAAACTATCAAATATATCTTAACAATAGGATGTTAGACTCTCTACCTTTGTCCATACCTGTAATGTCAGGATGTACTTAAAGAGCAGAATAATGGACTTAAGACTATTTATGAGACAATACTACTGCAACAATATAGGAGAAGTCAGTTTGGGGGAGAAGACTTGGGGAGGGATGAAGGGAAATCCCAGAGCCTATGCAACTATATCATAAAATAATAAACTAAATACATTTTCAACAAGACTATATTTGCTTTGATCTTAGATCAGAAATTAAATATTTATATGTATTTTTAACATATTTAATCAGAAATTTACTTCATTAACACAACATACTTAGAGACAGAGGCCTTGATTATATATTACATATTACACAAAAGTGAACTGTTTATCTATAGCTCTATGAAAGTTCTGAGAAGGATTCCAATTTGTGGTTATACTAGAAATACACATGGCTTTTAATCTCACAATTAGGCTTCTGTGATCAGCACTGATGACTCTGATGTAATATTATATCTAATTCCCAAGTAATGGATCATTATTTTTGCTAAGGATAATGATGATGATAACAATGGCATTTCCTCAGAAATCACTGTCCTTCATGGACTTTGTGTTAACACTGAATCCCCACAACAGTCCTGCAAAGGTCCTCACTGCATTGTCTACACCAGAGAATTGACAATTCATTCTTGACAATAAGAAACGTGAACAGTTACAAAGCTAGTAAAGGTCCTGACTAGAACCAAAACACACACTTGTCTGATCCCAAACCCCTGTGTTCCCACCTACTGCATTCAGTGCCTCCCTCATGAAATCATCTTTTCATCAAAAGGTGCGCTAGAGAATTCTTTGGTGGACAACGGAGCAGCATGTACAGTTGAAGACTTCTTGACAGTCGCCAGCCTTATGATTTCCACTGGGTTATTTCACATTTCTGAGTCTCATCCTCCCTTCCATGGAACACTGAGCAATTGATGATTCAATCCAATTAAAAAGATATGCTTCTGAGAGACCTCAACAAATGTTGAGTTCACTTTCTCTTCTCTTAAATGTATTTTATCTGACACTTTCTGGACAGAATAATTTCATGAAATTTACACAGATCCTCCACATAACTTCATATCCCTTCAGTGTGGGCTGCACACAGGGACTCTTTTCCATAAAGAACATCATGAACAGTCGAAGAACAGAGTGATTGCACAGTGGGGAATCTTGCAAACACTGGCTCAAGCTGTTCAATTTCAAAATAAGGAGAACAGGTCCAGCTGATGATATTAACTCTTTAAAAATGCATTTATGTAAAGAGAACAGATTTTATACACAGGATTTTAAGCACATATATGCTTCCAATGCTTTTCCCCTTACCCTGCCTGCATTTCTTTCCTTTTTCCTTCCTTCTAATTTTTTACATACTTTCAATGTACCTTAGAATGACAGGCCATAGACACTACTAAATAAAGAGTGAAACACACAGAAAATAGAAAGTTCCACTGGAGTACAGAAAGGGCTAAAAGTAGTAACCAAATATTGAGACGTTAATTCCAATAACATGCAGTGCATTTTTTTTGTCTTCTACATATTAGCTACCACAAATCAAAGAAAATATATACTATCTGTTCTTTTGGATCTGATACCCTTACCATCATAGCAAGGGTACTTTACCTGTACAATATCCCTCCCCCAAATCAGAATCCCATTGTTACTCTTAGAAAGACTCCTGATTCCAGAAGAGAAGAACCAGAGAGTACTATTCTAAACTGTCAGGGTCATGAGAAAATACAATCAGTGTGTCAAAGCGCCTCCTGCACTCCCACGTTTATTGCAGCATTATTCACAACAGCCAAGAAAAGGAAATGGCTCAAATACCCATTCACTGATAAATATGTTAAGAAAATGTGGTGCATATATGCAATGAAATAAACATGGATAGAACTAGAAGCCATTTTATCAAGTGAAATAAACCAAGCACAGAAAACCGAAAGTATCACTTGCTCCTTTTATTTGGAATCCAAAAAAGTCAATTTCATGAAGCTAAGAGTTTAAGAATTAAAAGGAAGTCAAGAGGAAGGATAGAGAATGCAGATTAATGAGTCCTGAGTATAGTTAGCTGGAAGTTCTGGTGTTCTATTGCACAATAGCACAATAAGATGAATGTGGTTTCACCGTGAAGAAACATTAAATATAGACATTACACAATTTTTACATAGGTTGAAACATCACATGGTGCTCCGTAAATATATAAATGTTATGTACTGAAGCGACCACAAAAAAAAAGAAAGAAAGAAAAGAAAAAGAAATTTGGGAAACTGTCACAATCATGAGAAGTATGAAGAGCTATACAAATAAAAGAAACATAATGTTCCCAAGCATAAAAGAAAGAAAAAAAGGAAAGAAAGATGAAAGGAAGAAAGAAAGAAAGAGAGAGAGAGAAAGAAAGAAAGAAAGAAAGAAAGAAAGAAAGAAAGAAAGAAAGAAAGAAAAGAAAAGAAGAGAAAAGTAAAGGAAGGAAAGAAAGAAAGAAAGAGAGAAAAGAAAAGAAAAGAAAGAAAGAAAGGAAGGAAGGAAGGAAGAAAGAAAGAAAGAAAGAAAGAAAGGAAGGAAGAAAGGAAGAAAGAAAGGAAGAAAGAAAGAAAGAAAGAAAGAAAAGGACATGAACCAAGGCCCAGTGTGGTAGTCTAGCAGCTAAAGCCCTCACTTTGCATGCCTCAGGGATCCCATATGGGTGCCAGTTCCTATCCCAGCTGCTACACTTCCCAACCATCTCCCTGCTTGTGGAAAGCAGTCAAGGGTGATCCAAGGCCTTGGAACCGTGCACCCATATGGAAATCCAAAAGAAGCTCCTGGCTCCTGGCTTTGCATCAGCTCAGCTCTGACTATTGTGACCACTTGGGGAATGAATCAGTGGATGGAAGATCTTTCTGTCTCTCCTCTTTAAAATCTACATTTCCAATAAAATAAATAAATCTTTTTTTTTTTTCAAAAAAGACATGAGATAAAAGTAAGAAATCAGGAATGAAGCATGGACTTTCACTCATAATAACCAACTTATATTGTAATAAATAGGTCACAGTAACACATTATAATAATAATCAAAACTTGGTATGATGTAGAGGGTGCATATAATCTTTATACCAAGTTCTCAATTTTTCATCAATTAAAACTTTCAAAAACTAAAGTATACTTATAAAAGTATATCTGAACAAGAAAAATACCTGAAAAAGTAAGTAGCACATTAAATCTTTTCTTGTAGAGCCACATAAAGGTGATCAATATTATTTTGTGAGTATCTGTAGCCTTTACAGCAATATGTAAGAATCCATCAAATATTAGCATTCTGAGAACTTCTAAGCTTTTGTATTTGGGACGTATCACCACAGCATAACAGTGGATCGTCCTCTCAGTTTATATTTTGAATTATCTCTGGTTTTCCTACTCTTGTGTATTTCAAATGGTCCTTCTGTTGCCAGTATCGGTGGAAAACACCACCACTCCAGTGGAGGGGACACGGGTATCAGAGAAGCATAGAGGTTCAGGACAGATCTGCACAGCACTGTGCTCAGCTTGACCTCATGGGGAAAGAATGTGTTCGAGACCTGAAACTGATTCTGAAATAAATGCAGAGGCCTGGAACCAAGTCAACATTACTTCCTGACAGAGAGCACATGAGACTAACAGGGGATGTAATTCCAGCCAACCTGTGTAACCACTGTGCATGAAGATTTATTTCATTTCTCAGACAGCAGCCTTCCAGGTGGCCTTCTGAAATTTTATGTATCCTCTAAAAGTTATTATATGTCCATAATATTTGCATTATTCTCATCTAGAAATGTATTAGCAGATATTACAGCATTGAGAAGCTCTGAGTTAAATAATCCCCTTTGCTTTCTTCATCTACCTATCACATAAATTCAAAAAATTCCATTTCAGTAGGTGATATATCAGAACTCTCATGAAAGTACAATCATAAATGTGATATCTCCTGGCTGAAAATGTTATTTATGAGGTTTGCTTCTGATTTGAGTTGCTATAAAAAATTTTTTTAAAACTATTTATTTATTTTTCTTGGAAAGTCAGATATACAGAGAGGAAGAGAGACAGAGAGGAGGATGTTCCATCCGCTGATTCACTCCCCAAGTGGACTCAGCGGCCAGAGCTGCACCAATCCGAAGCCAGGCGCCAGGATTTCTTCCAGGTCTCCCACACGGATACAGGGTCACAAGGCTTTGGGTCATCCTCTTTTGTTTTCCCAGGCCACAAGCAGGGAGTGGATGGGAAGCACAACTGCTGGGACACAAACCAGCGTCCATGAGGGATGCTGACGTGTGCAAGGTGAGGACTTTAGCAGCTATACTACTGTGTCAGGCCCAAAATAAACACATTTTAATTTTCGACTTCCTAAAATAAGTTGGGGTAAACTTGACCTTGCAAGACAACATCCTAAATAGAAACTATTAATGTTTGGTCAATGATTAGTTGAAAGCATCTTTGTGCTACATCTAAAAAAGCCCAGAGTAGTACATAATTTCAAGAAATAAATTTGCATCTTTGAAACATAAGCACAAACATATATTGTGGTTCAGTTAGACTATTTGGAACTCTAACCAGAAACTATTGTATTTGTAGCTATGGATTTACTTCAGTCTACAAGAACTTGGATAATTCATTGCCGAGCAGTGCTATAACATCCAACATGCATTCGTGAAAGAAGCATGCAAATTAGTTATAACCTATCAAAAATATAAAAGGTAACTTATATAACAGACTCAAAACAGCACCAGACATTAGCAAAACCATAAAGACATATAGGGGGAATCAAGTGTGATCCTGACAACCTCTTAACAGGAGGTCAAATGCACAAAGCAGGGTGGGGGGACCCCAGAGTGGAGCAGGTGGAGAGGAGGAGGTTTGTATCCCAACCCTGGAGACTCCCGGATCCTCACCAAGGTCTCTCAGTATGGGCACCAAAGGCTGGCTATATCCCAACAGCCAAGGAGACCACGGGGAATTAGACTGCCCTCGGAGGCCAAGAACTCTGAAGTCATCCATTCCCATTCCGATCTCCCACATGGGATGGAAGATGCCCAGATCCTTCCTCACAGGATCTAATGTCATCAGAACAATACCCGGGAGCCCTGAGCTGACCTCAGAAACAGAAGAACAGTAAACTTCCTTCGGGACTCGGGAGGGGAGCTTTCTCTGGTCCTTACTTAGCTGCAACTTTGGATACCCACCCTCTCCTGCAATGACCATCAGGGTTGCTCCAGCACCCCCTCCCCCCAAAATAGATTAGATAGAACAACAGGGAAAGCTTAGAATGAGACAGGAAATGGTTAGCTTGGACTCACAAATACCTTACTAGGTAGGACACAAAGATAAGTTACTCCTCACTAATGCATTGAAGATTTCTCTACACACCCCTCCTAAAACTGTTCTGCACCTCACCTGTTGAAGTATGCCTTGTTAGAGTTATAAACCAGTTTAGACTATCTTAAAATATTCCAAATTCAGTAAAAATTATGCTTCAACACTATAAATTTCTAAATAAAAAAATGAATATAGACACAAGACAGCTGAATAATACCCTACAGCCATTTTAAGGTGTATAGAAGCTGATTGTATATAAACTAAAATTGAAATGTCAATGATTCAGTCACAGGATGTGGTTAAGAACTTGCATTTTCTAACATATTGGTTACTCAATACCATGTCAATTAACTTCATAACGTTGTAAATCGTTGTTGATGTTATGTTGTGGCTTTCCATTGGATGGGATGATATTCTGCCAGCTCCGCTTTTAGACCAGAGATAGTCTCCCCAAGAAACCGTTGAATTTATCTGGACAATAAGATGCTGGACGCTATACTTGGTATATGCTTGCAATGAAAGAATCTTGACTGGATTTGATCTGTGATACCACAACAAAGTGGAGGAATCCATCGTGGGAGAAGGGCATGGGGAGGGATTGGGGGAATCCCAGAGCCTATGAAACTGTCATAAAATGAAATGTAATTAATTTAACAAAAGAAACATGCATCGTATCCAAACTGAGCAATTAAGACTATGCTTCCCAGTTTGGCAACAGAGGAAATTCTTCTCAACCCATAACTACTGGTAGCGATTCTCAACATGTGTTCAAATTAAAACCTTAATCAGTTACAATATAGGTACTGGTTCAAGATCTAGATATTGCACTTCCCGATCCAGCTCCCTGCAAATGACTTGAGAAAGCAGTAGAAGATGGCCCAGGTGTTTTGGCCCCTGTCATCCACGTGAAAGACCCAGAAGATATTCTTGGCTGCTGGCTTCAAATGAACCAGCAAATGGAAGATATTCTCTCTCTCTCTCTTTCTCTTTCTTCTTGCTTCTCCCTCTCTTTCTCTTTCTCCCTGCCTCTCCTCTCTCTCTCCCTCTCCTTCCCTTTCTGTTTTTCCTTTCAACAACTCAGTCTTTCAAATAAATCTTTATAAAACAGTATGAGAAGCAATTCATTGAGGTCCAATGACAGATACAATCGGGGACATTATCATTAAGCCTGCAAGCTGTGCATTCATTCACAGCCTCATACTTAAAGGGGTCTCCCATTTGGTTTACGGCTATGCTGTCATCATCTTGAAACAATTAATAACTGTTAAACAGAGACCCAATATTTTTAATTTACATCCTGCCTATTTTATGTGTGATCTTATACAGAATGCCTTTATGGTATGTTAAGAGCCGTAGCACCGTGAAGCTGTGGCTGGGAGGGATGTAATTCAGAACAGCTCCTGAGATCCAACTAATTGGAATTTTCTATATGCTTTAGTGATTGAGCTGTAACACCTGCTAATGAAGATAAGAAAAAGCAGATCAACCATGCTTTTCAGTATACAGTAGAACACATTCTATTCTAAACAGCTTACATATATTAACTCATTTAAAACCCTCAGTTACAGATGAGGAAACCGAAGAACAAAACTTTAGTAACACAGGTAAGATTCGAGAGTTGGTAAGCAACAAACTCAAGCAGATTAGCTACTGACTTTGTGATCTTAATATTGCAGTAGGCTTAATAATTCAAATGGTGATGGATGGGCCACTTGCACTAAATCATACCAATGCATTTTGATTGAATATCTACTCACCATCATGATTCAAGAAAATAACAAATGCTAAATTTATACTCATATTATGATAATGATGAAAATATCTTATTAAGTCATTATATATCTTCTGGTGTGTATTTAACACAGTTTTGGGTCCTTTAAGTCATTTAAATTTCATTACTGTCTCTTCTCAAGGCTGTGGTACCTAGCATACATTTCCATCAGATATATATTGAATGTATCAATGAATAAAGAAGAGAAACTATTATGATGGGGATAAAATAAAACAAATAATAAGATATCAGATATTGCAGAGATGAGTAATCACCAAATAATTGTAGAATGAATTGCTAGTTTTATTTTATAATGACCTGCAGTAAGACTTCCTGATCTCGAAACCACCACTCTTACCTTGCTGATATCATCTACCGCCTGGTAGTTGGCGTGTTCCTTTTGGATGATGTTCATTACATCAGTACGAAATTTCTTGGAATTCAGGAACACAAGTGGGTTGTTTATTGAAATAATTTTCAACTGTGGCAGCATTTCCTTTCATGGAGCAAAAGGAACAGATTCAGAACTCTGAATTCAATCCAATATGTAACAACTTCATTCAGTGGGTCTACAGTTATACAAATTTAATCATCAATTGGTCATAGAAATTATCTTGACTACCATATTCATAATCATCATTTATTTATAGAGCTTCATGTACTAGCATACTTCTCAGGAAAAAGATGGACTTCCTCTTTGCCAAGAAACACTGATTATGCAGGAGCCACACCTTTTTGAGCATGGCTCTCATCTCTGCTAGCTGGGTTTTGGTGACTCCACAGACTGGAGTATTCATATTGCAGGAAGATCTGTCTTCCCCAAACACCTCTTCCATTGAACCTACTAGTTTAAAAAGACTGACTTGTCCATCCATCAACATTTTTGAAACAAGAAAATATCATGAAGTGTCAGTTGTCTGCCATTGAGCTCATGATATAACAGCATTTCTTCAGCTGAAATGTGACTTTAGAAGTGAGTGATGGGCCTAACCAGAAGAAAGACAAGCAGTAGCATCTGGAACATAAATTTCCCTGTGTGCAGTTCTAGGTTATGCTGAATTGACAGCTGAGGGATGCAGAAAATGAAAAGGAAAGTCTGCACAAAAAAGGGGCCTGCTTTGGCCACTTGGTCAGTTATTGCTGGCCTCACTTGCTGCTGAGCAACTAAACCATCTTCTCTATGACCTTTAGAACAAGGATCTTGAAATTGACAGGCGGTAAGTTATATGAAATGACAACTGCTTACCAGCCAAGCAGTAAGGTTCCTTCAGACTTTAGCACTCAGAGAGAGAAGGAGATGTAGAGAAGAGGGATGCATACGGGAAGAGAAAATAAAGGTGAAAGAAAGTATTAGATAAGCGATGGGACAATTCATTTAACCCTCTCAGGTTTTTCATTGTTCAAATCAGGATTTTTTTTTTAAGATTCATTTTTTTTTCCAAGATAAAGATTTATAAGCTTCATATTTAAATTTGTCCATATAAATGTGTCTATAACTAGAAAATGAAGCACTAGAAAGTGAAGATATTTGCAACAATTAAGCAAAGACAGACTAAGTTGCAAACTAATGTTTAATGAAGAGAAAAACTCCTAAGGAGTTTTAATACACCACTAATTCTTGGTCCACTCATATTTATATACCTATAGCATGAAATCTTAAAATTACTGAGTAATCACGTCACAGATTGTGTCCATATGTTCATTTAAGGTAATTTGAAAAACAGATATAGATACATCTGGATATAGATAGATACAGGTATGTAGCGAGCGGTTCAAAGTGTTCCAGAGAAGAAATCTGTAATAAAGTTGAATTCACTGAGGAGGAAGAGATCTCCTGAATGGGACACAGGTATTCTATCAGAAGAAAAATCCGAGAGTACATTTAATAGACACATAAAATAATGATGTTTTCATTTTAAGTTAGGAAAAGATTTCACATTACAGTTCATATTCAAATTTTGCCCTTCGTTTTTTGTCCTTTTCTTTTTGATAGCAAATATTAAATAACCAGTGAAGTGTAAAATATGCTAAAATGGAGATTTCCGTGCAACAGCTATTGTTCAGGTGGGTAACTAGACTGAAAGTAAAATCGAGATTTACACACAGAGGGAAAATTCTAGAACTTTCACATTCTCACAAACTACCTAATTCACATTCCCACATGTTTAATACACAAGGTTAAGGCTTACGCGAAATTTAACTTGTGATTTGTTAGTTGAAAATAGTCAAGGCTACAGCAAGTGTACATGTAGCATAAATATGCAGAGGACTTTAGGAGCCCATGACGTAACTCTGAGTTAAAAAAAAAAATAGCAATTGTTTTAATTAGAAAAAATTATTAAAACCAATATTTCCTTCCCTTTTTTTGAAAAATCATTTTGGCTCTTCCTTCAAGCAAGAATCTAGAATTCTGAGACTATAAATTATGCTTTCTAAGCATGGACAAAGCAAAAACAATTTATGGAAGTGATTTTCATAAAAAGATGCCCTAGGATGGGGACATTTGGCAAAGTGATTAAAACCAGCCTCGGCGTGCTGGCATCTCTTGTTGAGGAACACAAGTTCCAGTCCTCACTGCTTCCTGCTGCAGCTTCAGTGCTCATGGAACCATGGCAGGAAGCAGGTCAGTGCTCACCAACCTGGATCCTTGTTATCCACAGGGGAGGGCCAGCTTGAGCCCCAGCCCCCAGGCACAGCCCTGCCTGTTGAATGTGGTTGGAGGATGAACCAACCAAAGATAGAGCTTGCTCTATCTGCACTTTTGCTCTTTCATTCTTTCTATCTCTTTCTGGCTTTCAACTAAAAATTTGAATTATATATAAAATAAGGTGTCCATTGTGACAGAATTCAGACTAAATTATCCCCTACTAAAAACAATCGCATTGAGTTTTACAAAGAAATATATCAGCAATAATCAACAATACAGTGAACCAACTTTGCGTAACTCTCTATTTTCCTCCAGTTTGTACGTTACAAGAGTCAACCAGCTTGGCTTGATTGCGATGTAGTCATGAAAAGGGCTATCCAAGGGCCTGAGCTAGCCTGGCCCATCATTCCACAATGAAAATTTCCAGGAACCATGATAAGGTCTTGCTTGAACCCTCATTACAAGGAGATTATCTTGTGTTGTACTGAATTTTTGTACATCCATCACCAAATATTTAGTCCTCTCATACAGCTGTGGGAATGTCATATGAGTGGAAAATCAAATGTTCACCTTCTAAATGTCATAATGCCTGCTTCTTATAATAGCTTCAATCTTTCTCATCTGCAAAAGTTATTAACAATTTCACAAAGGAAAAATTTAACTTACTTCCTCCAATTCTGTCTTCACTTTAAATTCCATTTCTTTCATATTTTTTACACTTACAGTCTTTGTCCTAAAATAAAAGCAGAAAGAAGTATGTTATTATAAAAATTCAAAGAAAAAATAAGAAAGGAAGATGATGGTGGGAGCATAGGCAGGAGAGGATAGGGTGGGAAGTACAATTATTTTCTTAAACCTGCGTATATGAAATGCATGAGATTTGTTCATCTGTGTAAACAAAATCTTTCAATAAAATAATCAGCTCTTGGGCTGGTATTGTGAGACATCAGGCTAAGCCTCCTGCTGCTGCACCAGCATCCTGTATGAGCTCAGGTCAAGTTCTGGCTGCTCTACATCCAACCAGCTCCCTGCTAATGGCCTGGGAAGGCAGTGGAGGAGGGACCAAGCCCTTGAACCGCTGCACATCTCAACAAACTCCTGGCTGTTGGCTCCAGATCATCCCAGCTCCTGCAGCCATTTGGGGAGTGAACCATAGGATGGAAGATCTCTTCCTCTCTGTATGTATCACTCTGCCTTTCAGGTAAAAGGAAATACATCTTCAGTCATATCTTACCTTGGGAAGCGTCCTATCACTATCGCTATAGTGCAAACAACACCAAACAGCAGTCCCACGTTGGCAGCAAAGCATATTGTAAACACATATGTACTAATCCAGATGCCCTGGGAAAAGCAAGGAAGCAGAGGATGAGGGTCTTGCTTTGCTTGCAATTGCTAAGGTCCTCACAACATTATCCCACAGTATTATTGTCTCCAGTTCTTTCACAGCTTTCCAGCTGATGAAGAAACAGGAACTATGAAATAAGTTCTGGATCCATTAAAATCTCAGCACAGAGGTAGGAAAATGCTCATATTTTTTATTTCTAATCGCTGTAATCTTCAGTCCCCAGTAAACAACATATTTAAATGTGTAAGGAGTAAGTAGATGTTGTGTTTGACACTGAAGTATGCCATAAGGGCAGACATTGTGGCATAGTCTCCTGCAAAAGCAGGATCTATGTGGACTCCAGTTCAAATCCTGGCTGCTCCACTACAGGTCCAGCTCCCTACTATGTGGCTGGACAGCAGCAGAAGATAGCCCAAGTCCTTAGGCCTTCACACCTATTTAGGAGACCTGGAACAAGCCTCTGACTCTCACTTCGAACTGGCCCCACTGGGGATATTGTACCCATTTGGGAAGTTATTTAGCTGATAGAAGATTTCTCTCTCCCCTCCCCCCTTCTCTCTCTCTCTCTCTTTCTCTCACTCTACTTTTCAAATGAATACAACAAATCTATTTGTTTTAAAAGAATGCCATAGTTTCCCATTGCTATCTTATTGAATATATTATAATTACTTGTTGTTTTTTTCATCTCTGATCATATTTGGATATTTAAGATTACTGTCAAAATAACTAATATAGTCCATATGACTGAATCAGGTAACATGATATTTTAGGTCAATTACTATCATTATAATATTACAACCACCTCAGTTACTATAAAGATCATTTTTTACAAGGGGTTATTTCTTGTGAAAGCTACAAAGTCAAAGCCTATAGAATCCTTGATATCATAAAAAATTTTTAAGAAATTGTTTCTTTTATTTGGAATTCTAAGGTTAATGTAGTTTGCCACCCACCGTAATTTATAATTTGCAACATAACAATATATTAGAATTGGCATTTCTAGAGTCTGTACTGATAAAAAGAATAACTTTAAAAGCCAGATAATTTGCAAAATCCAGAAAGTTAAGCTTTCTAAACACAAAACCCAGCACTTGTCAAATAGTAGACACAAAATTTTCGATCACTCTCTTTCCCCAAAATAGCCTACATCATCTTTTTCTATGCTTACAGTTCTAGGTTGATTTACTTCTGTCTCAACAACTTTGCTATTACTTTAAAGAATAATTCAAGGGACTGGTGCTGTAGCATAGCATACAAAACTACTGTTTGAAATGTTGGCATCCCACATGGGTGCTGGCTTGAGTCCCACTTGCTCCACTTCTAATCCAGCTCCTGGATAATGGCCTGAGAAAAGTAGCCAAAGATGGCTCATTTCGGGCCCATACATCCACATGGAACATTTGGATGAAACTCTGGTTTCTGGCTGTGGCCTGGCCAGTGCTGACCTTAGCGGTTCACCCATCTGGGGAGTGAACCAGTAGATGGAAGATCTCTGTTTCCGTCTCTCTGTCTTCCTCTGTACTCTGGATTTCAACTAAATAAATAAATATAAAAATACCCACAATTCAATTCCACACACAAATGGAAGAAAACTGAAACTGCTCTACAATAGAAAAATAGCACAGAATCTTTGGAGGTGAGGGAACTGGGATGAATTAGAAAACTATTTGTAAATTTTTTTTTTTTTTACTTGAAATCCTTCTATTGTGTCTATAGCATCTATCTACAGCGCACAGGAGAGATTCTTAACAGACTTTTGGTGGTGGGGATATCTTCACTGCTTCATTTGTCTTATAATAATTGCCTGTTTGGACTTTCTGTATACTAAGTTTACTTTTTCAAGAAGAGGATTTATGGGCCGGTACGATGGCCCTATGGTCAATCCTCTGACTAACAAACTTTTAAAGATTTATTTAATCATATTGTAAAGTCAGATATACAGAGAGAAAGATTGTCCATCTGTTGATTCACTCCCCAAGTGGTTCCAATGACTGGAACTGAGCTAATCTGAAGCCAGGAGCTTTTTTTCAGGGTCTCCCATGCGAATGCAAGGTCCCAAGGCCATCCTCGACTGCTTTCCCACGCCATACTCGGGGAGCTAGATGGGAAGCAGGGCTTCTGGGACATGAACCAGAGTCCATATGGGATCCTGGCAAGTGCAACGATATGACTTTAGTGCTAGGCTACTGCAGCGGGCCCTTAACAGACTTTTTTTTGAAAATCTGAGACCTTTGAAACAAATGGAAGGGTTTGTTTCTGTAAAACTCCTTAAATGTAGGGAAAACAAGCAAGTCTGCAATGAAGCAGAAAATATACTTAAAATGATTCTCATGTTAAGATCCACCTGCAAATGTATTAGTAAGTTGTTTATTATGACATTATGTCTACTCTATCACGTCATAGGATAAGACAGATGTTCCATTATTTGGATCATCTAGTCTTTTCGTAGTTGGCTCAAGTTTTCTTCCTAATGTGTTACATGATAGTCAATCATGTACAAAATAAGGTTTGATGTTTTTGATTGTTAATCCAGCTTTTCATGATCACCGTGAACCTTTATTTAACTCTGAATTGTAACTGAATTTGAGTGAGACACAACAACACCCCCACCAGAAACCTTTTAGGTCTGGTTCCTTCTGATCAACTTCCATCATTCAAAATGGCATAGCAAACTAAAGATCCTGCTCCCTGCCACTTACAACCACAGAGCCTCCAGGCCTGGATTCATCAGAGCAACCCAACATTTTGGGACCATCTGGTTCTATTTTTAAAGCATACTTACTCTCCCACAACATCATCAATTATAAGCTGTGCTCTGAATGCTTAGTAAGGCCTGGGGGCTACTCTTACAGCTTTGAAAAAATATCTAATGGAAATTAATAACACAGATCAGTAAATAGTTCTCTTGGTTAGAGTATGTTCCAATGGCATTCTTCAAAAATTCCTATGAAAGACCCAAATGCTGGTATCACACTTATCAAGAATCGGTTAGTGATTTTTTAGCATGTGTTTTCTCGCGCTTTTTTTCTAATTTTGCACTTACAGCCTGCAATCACAAAATAACCCCAAAGCTGATGTTAAACATATAAATGCTTGCTTCTTGTGGAAAATGTATCAGTGTCAAGCACAGTTTAGTAGCCACAGAATCACCATTCCCTGACTATATTTTTAAAAGAAAGTCATATGATTAGATTTTGTGTGTTGAATGCTATTCTCACTGCGCAATTACTCAAACTTAATTCTGTCAGAACTGCATTTAGAGCCCTATGTCCTCATTACCTTAGAGTGTTTTCACATATGAAACTGTTATCAATAATTCTATGTCAGGGTACTTCCTGATTATGCTTCCAGAAAAAAAATCATCAGATAAATTGGGCTTCCCCAAAACACCCCAGTTAGCTAGCATTTCATCAAAAGAGTTCAAACCACATGATCATCCGATTTGGTTAAATTTCATTTTTATTTCTTATAAAGACAATTTATGTTGTAATGTTTTTATTCAGATTTTGAGGAATTGAAAAAGCTTACAGGCTTCAAACAGCTAAATCTACTTTCTATATTACATTTGTGCATAAGCCAAAGGAGAAATGTGAAGGTCAAATTATGACTTACCCAATCAATTTTATCCACATTCCAATACTTTTTTAAATCTCGAAACTGTATTAGCATTCCTTTCAGTCCCACAACAATAATACTTGCAAGAACACACTACAAATAAACACAAAGTTGATGAAGAAGCAAGGTAAATTTTTATTATCAATTTAAATAATCCAAATGATTTATATTTTCTTGGTTCTAAAGTACTAGAGAAACCAATCATCAATTAAAAGACTAAAATAACATGTGATTTACAAAAATCTAGTATCGTATTTTACAAATGTAGTTTAAGTCCCAGGATTTCATAGAGTAAACTTATCCCATTCTAAAAACCAAGGTAAGAAAAAGAAACCAATCCTAGGAATTCGAAGGGGGAATGTTGCAAAGCCGAATGTGCCCTGAATTATAATTATTCACTGCTGTTTGCTTGAAATGTGTTGGTTACAAAAATAAATGATAAATAACTAAATAAGATATATACAGGTAAATATACATCACATATGTTTGTAATTTCCTTAAATATAAATTATGTTGTTTCACCTAAAGTTATAAATCAAATCATCTGGGAGCTGGATTTCATTGCTGGAAACGATTAACTGTTGTTAGACAAATGGATGTTTAGAAGCAATGCAACAGGCTCCTCTTTGTGCCACTTTGGTACCGCAGGCTTTGGAGGGCATCCTGAACTGCTCCTGGTCCCTTGCATCAGGCAGAGCCAAGCGAGGGGAAGACACATCTCGTTCCCTACCCTGTCACCCCAAACATATTTTCTAAATTTTGATGATATTCTTCTAATGCCTACTTTGTATTAAAGAGAATGTCTAATTCTACCTCCAGATGAGCACAGAATAAATTTTATTTCACAATGTCATTTTCCAAATGCGAGTCAAAAATTAGGACGTAGCCGTGGTGTCTGCCCAGTCCTGCCTGATCAAACATGCTACCATGTCACCTTCCCCCATTCAAATTTGACTTAGTAAGATGGTTCTCGGATTTAGGGTTATGAAGAACACATGTCTAAGAAATTTTGTATGCAGTAATTCTCATCAAAATTAGTTATGATATAACTAGAAAAAAAATTTTTAAAAACTACTGTACCATGGGTAGCCAGTAAAGCAAAGGTCCTATTGCGTAGATGACTACTAGGACGAAAACGCAAGATATTAGACAAGCCACCTGTAAAATACAAGACAGAAAAAAAAAAGGGAGAGAAACCTTGAACTTCTTATTATTCCAAAGTTATGAGAGGGGGTATTACCCTTAGTTCTTCTTGATTAGAAGAAACAAAACATAGGCAATAATTGTTAAATTGCATAGACTGTCATTATCTATATTTTGCAGCTGAGGGAAGCCAAATGTGACAGCTGACAAACTAGCATAATCAAATGAAGTCAGTGTAGAGAGAAAAGCAATTTCACACCAAGAAATAGGACACCATCAACTTTTATCACACATCACAGCAATGGCTTTTTTGCTTAATAGTGTAAGTGACATTTCAATTAAAAGTTCTGTAGTCTGTTGTTTAGCCTGACTCTCCTCCTTATTTTGTAGGGGGCTGTTTGAGCAACAATGAAAATGCAGCTTAGGGTTTTACTGTGCTGATGATAAACTTCCATGGAGCATTTAGCCTCTTGTTTGGAGTTCTTTGTTCGTAAGGGATGTGTGAGATTCCAGCAGCTCTCTCTGGTAGTGCAAAGGACTTAATATTACTAATCCTGAAAAGTCATCAGCATCATGTTCTAAGCCACCTCAGAGCATCTGCAGGACACAGCTAGTCTCCAATGAATGGTGAACTTTATTTTCACAGAGAAAATGTTCTGACATAATAAAAATATTTGGTCAAACTGTCATTCTAACAAGAAAGGAGGGATTTCTCAAGACCGTTAAGCTGTCTAGAATACCAATAAGGAGATATAAAAGAAAATATGGATTAGAAAATCTTGAGTTAGATATTTAAATAAACAACCAATATTAAAGGCTGGCACGGACTCCGATCAACTTGAGTCCCCATTGCCAGTGAAAACGTGGTACGGCAGTTTTGCAGTTTCTTATGAAGTTAAGTACACATCAAATGACCCGGGCAGGAGTGCCTAGGAGAAATGAAAACATGTTCCCAGGTGAATATCTATAGATATTGATAGAAAGTTTCACAAACAGACTTGGAAGTATCTGAAATATTACCAATCGATGAATAAATCGTGGCACTACCCCAGCAGTCAAAAAGAGGATAGTGGCATAGCAAGTAAAACCATTGTCTGCACTGCCAATATCCATATGGGTACTGGTTGGAGTCTGGTTGCTCCACTTGCAAACCAGCTTCCTGCTCATGTGTCTGGGAAAGCAGCAGATGATGATGTAAGTACTTGGACCTCTCCACCCATGTGGGAGACCAAGAAGAAGCTCCTGGCCCAGTCTCAGCCACTGTGGCTATTTGGGGAATAAACTAGCAGACTGATTCTATCTTTGTCTCTTTCTCTCTTTGTAACACTGCCTTTCAATTAATATGAAATAAATGCTTACATTAAAAAAAGCAAAAACATACACAGCTAAAATCCAAATCCAGTAAGCTGAGGAAGTTAGCCAGACTATGTACAGAAGGCTACATTGTTTGAGAGTTCATATCCAGAACATTCTGAAAAGAGTAGTTGTGGAACGCTAGAAGCTAGAACTGGGGATCAAAGAAGCTGTCACAGCACAATTTCTAGAAATTTCCGGGGTGACAGAAATACTCTAAATCTTGAATGTGTGTGTGGATGCACAGCAATGCACTTTTTCAAATGACTGAACATAATGGATTTTACTACATTGAAACTATACTTCCATAAACCTAAATTTTTAAGAAAGGAAGTTGGGGGAGGGATTTCTAACATTTGCTTACATGACCCAGTGCTTATCCGGGACCTGGTCCTACTAAAAGGTAGATTGTGGGAGGGAGGAAAGGAATGGAAGCTGTTATAAATATTCAGCTAATCAAATGATCATTCAAGCAGTGTGGGAACTAGCCTGTGTGTGGACAGTCAGAGGAATCCTGTTGTGCCATCCATAGTTAGTGGAATTCATCAGAAAATAAAAGGGAAAATAATCATTACATGGAAACTCACTAGGAAATTAAGATTGCCTGAAAAAATGCCAGTGTGTACCTGGTCATCACTATACTCATTATAGGCGTCACTGGTGGTTTTATAAAGTAAAGATTTCTGAGGCAATAAAATGGCGGCTATTCTAAAGAGCTAAGTGTCAAGCTATTCAGAATCTATTCAGAAAATCCAGTAAGTCACTCAGTGGACACACGTTTACAAGGAAAGAAAAAGACACCAACCTACTAAGAACTACTGTGAGACAAATGACATTGGCATGCTCCGCTTTCACGGGACTTTTATCCTCTTATATTTATAGTGTATCTGAGAACAAAACTCTAAAACTTTAGGCATTGGATAGCCACAGTCAAAAATCCTTGGAAGAATCTGAGTCACAGAGACAAAAGTGACCTGCTCAAGATCACAAAAGCAAGGGAATTAGAAGATGTGAAGGCAGAATGGAAGAGCTACTGCTCTGGGACCCACAAAAGTCAGACGTACTTTAAGCTTCCTAGATACGCTATAATGCAGTGAAGTTGTTACAGAAATTACAACCCAACTTAGTAAATTTACCTAAGCCTAGTAAGTCCCAAGTACATTTGGACTTTTATCCCAAACAACATTTAATTTATCTTTTATTTACATAATGTGTTGTACATACATAACAACTCATTCACCAAATTGCAATTCAGTCTTGTAGTCAAAGCAAGTTAGAACTTCAACAAATTTTATTTTGGGAAAAGTTACAAGCAAATTTAAACCTTAGCATGTCATATAATGAAATAGATCACATAAGCAAATACCTCACGTAGGCAATCTGCTTGATTTTTATTGATGCGTTATGTCAACAGACAAATGAACCTAATCCTAACTAGTTAGTCCCAGTGTAACCATCCCCACAAAATGGAAATGAACAATATTATAGTGTCTGCTTTCAAAACTTATAAAATATTGACATATTTTCACTTCATAAGTAAGAAACTCAGACATTGAAGTTCGGATTTTTAAGTCCAAACTATTCAGTCCCCAGTTCCATCATCAGCCAACTCAATAATTTAAAAAAGAAGTTAACTTTAGGGCCCAGCGGCGTGGCCTAGCAGCTAAAGTCCTCGCCTTGAATGCCGGGATCCCATATGGGCGTCGGTTCTAATCCCAGCAGCTCCACTTCCCTTCCAGCTCCCTGCCTGTGGCCTGGGAAAGCAGTCAAGGACGGCCCAAAGCTTTGGGACTCTGCACCCGTGTGGGAGACCCGGAAGAAGTTCCTGGATCCTGGCGCTCATTTGGGGAGTGAATCATGGGACGGAAGATCTTCCTTTCTGTCTCTCCTCCTCTCTGTATATCTGACTTTCCAATAAATAAATAAAATCTTTAAAAAAATTTTTTTAAAGTTAATTTTAAAAAGAAATACTTGCCATGCTATATTATTATTCTCTCAGCTGAGGTTTCTGTCATAATTCACTAGCTATATTTCTAAATAACAAACACTTTCTGAATATCTGTATTTGCACATAAGAAAATACTTTCTGAAATACTTCTGAACTACCTTGAGAAACAGTTTTTGCAGACAAGTTACAATCAGCACAAGAGAAATAAACATGTTCCTTTTACATTTAATCTCAGAAAACAATATTTAAGTAGCTCTGTATTATTAAGTTCCAGGCTGAACTAAGTTGTAATTAGCGAAGAACAACACCGATACTCCTAATTATCCATGGAACAGACATTGTGTAAGTACTTTAATCTTCAGCTCTTCCAATGTCATGCTAATTGAATATCCAAAGATAATTTCTGTTTAAAATCATAGCTACTCACACACATAAATAGTATCCACACTTCAGTATTTGTTGAAGGAAGAGAGAGGTGGCAGCCATTGTCGAAGAATGCAAAGTCGGCCTAGAGCCCACCATATGGATAACTTCATGGAAAGCAGTGGATTGGAGAAAGGGGTGGAAGCAAAAGACTCAGAGGATTTGGGGTAACTAAGGCTAGATTAGGAAGGATTAAATGGAAGCAATGAACCCAATGTTTACAAGAGAGATACAGTTTGGCCACTTGGAATCCATAGCCAGTTTTCACATTGCAGAAAGACAGGGCAGCTCTCATCTGCAGTTGTGACTGAGCTGCCACTGCTGCATAGACCATCTCGCATCCCTCAGGGAACCAGAATGCCTCCTACTAGCCCTGAAAGGTTCCAGAAACTCTCAAGAAGCCTGCCCGGTTGAGAGGCAAAGAAACGCTGACCACGCTCAGTGGCCAACACTATTTAGAGGTCAGGAGGAAAGGAACAAGAGCAACGTTTATTTGTGCTATTTTTAATTTTTTGAAATGTTATCTCAAGCACTGAGTCACAGAAAGTGAGTTGGAGAGACAGAGAAAGCAAGGTTATTGCTGGTTCACTCAATAGATGTCTACAGCTACCAGGGCAGGGCCACGCCAAATCCAGGAACCAGAGGCATCTTCCAGGTCTCTCACATGGATGAAGTGGCCCAAGTCCTTAGGCCATCACCTGCCCTTTTGCTGGGCAGATTAGCAGGGAGCTGAAAGTGGGACGATCAGGGTTCAAACCAGGGCCCATTTGGGACGCTAATCTCGCAGGCAGTGGCATAGCAACCTATGTCACAACACTGTCTCATAACATTTTTTGAAGAAGCACTAAGATTTCCTCATTTTCCAAAGTGCCTTGGACACACATACTTCGGCTTTCAATCCAGATGGATCATTGTGAAAAAAAAATTTTTTTCTACAGGTAGAAAATAGAAAGTTGCAACTGTTTCATTATGACACATGAAATTAAAGGATGAAAGCTTTTTGTATTTCCAATGAAAACATCTCAACTTTCTCTCTAAAGCACGGAATGGATTTATCAACTCGTTTCTATATAACATGGTTCTAAATTCACTGTCCAGTACAACCAAAAGTGGCAATTGAGCTGATGATCCCTCTTGATGGAGATGTGCTACAAATACAAAATACAACTCAGATTACAAAGCCTTAGCATGAAAGAAGAAAAATAACACAAAAATAGCACTCATGATCTTTAGGCAGATTCCATATTGAAACAGCATGGTGGTTAAGCCCCGGACTGGGACAGCTACTTCC